CCGCGCTGTAGGGTTGGGTGTGAGTGAGGACGGCTGCTCTAATGGGCATGTAGGGATGGGCTCTGCAGGCCAAGGAGGAGCGATTGGCTGAGGAGAAGGCCAAGAAAATGGCAGCAGCCAAGAAGATGGAGGTGCGCAGGAAGCAGGAGGAGGAGGCACGGAGGCTCAGGTGTCTGCAACAGGTGCGAATGCAGGTGGCGGGTTGGGCATCGAGGAGGAGGCGGGGCAGGATGGGTGCTGCCTCAGCCCCTGAGGACTGCTGGGCCTACCCCACTTTGTTGGCTTAATTCTGGTGGGTCTTGTGGCGTCCAACCCTGAGGAGGTCCCACAAATGCCTTGGAGATGGGCTGTTTCTGTAGAGATGGCACTTTGAGGGTCAGGCACATGGACTCGAAGCCAGACTTTCAATCTCAGCTCTCGCTCTTTTATTAGCTGTGTGACCCCACACAGGTTACTTGACCTCTCTGTGCTTTGGTTCCTTCAGGTAGCAGTGGTATCTACCGGAGAGGGCTGTTGTGAGGGTGAGATGTTCTACCTAGAAGAGTAGGGACCTACCTCTTCCTTGGAGCTGTCCATCTCATGACCCGAGGGAACACAGATCTGTCTTTGGGGTTATGACACTGATGGCTGAATTTGTTGAGTATTTACCCCGTGCCAGGCGCTGTTCTAGGTATGTGTATAAACTCGGCAACTCTGTGAGGTGTAGGTATTACTGTTTTTGTCCCCATTTGCTCAATGAGGAAACCATGGGCTTAAATGATAGCCCAGTGTCACAGCAAGTGCGTCTGGCTCCAGTCTGTGCCCTTAAATCTGCAGCAGCAGCAAAAGAAGCTGCCACCAGATGCCTTTTCAGGCTGGGTGGTGATTTGTGGCTCCTGGCGTGGGGCGACCCTGGCTCTGCCCCTGACGATCTCGGATGCCTCCTGTCAACCACCCCTCCCTTCTTCCCAGACCTCTGGCACCTCTCCAGCCCAGCCCGGGCCTGGCCTGAGGCCCTGACTTTGCTCTGTGTTCACAGGAGGAGGAAGAGCAGCAAAGGAAGAAGGAGGAAGAGGATGAGCAAGAGCGTCTGCTGAAGGCGGCCGAGGCCAGGAGGCTGGCCGAGCAGCGGGAACAGGAACAGCGGAGGGAGCAGGAACGGCTCCAGGCCGAGAGGTGAGGGAGCCCCGAGGGCCAGGCTGGTGGGCCAGCCCCTGGGGGCCAAGGCGATGTCCAGCCATGTGTTTGTGTGGACGAGAGACAGAGCAGTCCTCTAGAGCAGTTCCCCCTTCCCTTGGGCTTTGCAAAAGAGGATCACACTTCCCTTGGCTCAGCACCCAGAGGTCTGCAGCAGGCAGACCCTGAATGTGGCGTTGGCTCTGGGAGATGGAAGACGTAATGGGCAGGGTCACTTGGGACTCTCTTAGTGCTACCTCCAGCCAGTGTGTGCCCCCTTTGTTCCATTTTGTCCTCAGCTGACATGGCGGGGCAGCGGGGTGCTCAACAGGCCCCCCATGGGCATTTGAGCAGGAGTTCTTTGGCTGCATTGCAGACGCTCCCCACTAAACATGCCTCCTCTGTGGTGAAGAGAACCCAGACCTCCCGCCCCCATCACTTCCAACTGCCTCCCTTGGTATCCATGGCAGCAGAGCCTGGGTCTGCCACTCTCAGAGGCAGAGGTCTCTGCAGTGGGTCCTGTGAGGCTTATTCTGGGGCCCACCCTCTGCTCGGCTGTGCCAGATCTCGGGGATGCCAAAGAGGACAAGCCACAGTCTCTGTTGGCCAGGAGAGGTGGGATCTGCGCCTGTGATGAAGAGAACTGTGCCCATGTGTGTGCACAGAGAGGTGGGAATACCCAAACAGGCCTAGAATACCCAGCTGCCTCTCCTGCCTCCACCGCCTGAGAAACAGCAGGCAACACGTCCCTGCCAGTCTTCAGGTGGCTTTGGGCCCAGTGGGGAGTGGGGGGTGGAAGCCATGGGGCTGAACTGCATGGGGACCATCTCCCTGTGCTTTTTTTTTAATTTATTGATTTTATAGAGAGAAACATTGATTAGTTGTTCCACTTATTTATGCACTCATTGGCTGATTCTTGTATGTGCCCGGACCTGGGATCAAACCCGCGACCCTGGTGTATCGGGACGATGCTCTAACCATTTGAGATACCTGGTCAGGGCTCCCTGTGCTTCTTGACTGACACAAAAGGGTCCTGGTCCTATGGCAGAATCGGAGACAGGAGTCTGGGCAGGGGACAAAGAGCGGTGGGTGGCAGTTGATGTGGTTTTAGAATTGCATGTGTGCCGCCCAATGCCAGGGTCTTCATGGGGGTGACGGTGCGATGGTCATAATGGTTGGCAGCTTACACGCTCTACACGTGTTTCTTGTCGAATCCTCACTTGGAGGCCCTGTGGCATAGGAACCAGAAGCTCCACTTCCCAGAGGGGGGGCGGGTGCAGGGAGGTTAAATGCCTTAAGTCACAAACTAGTGAGTGGAGGTGGCTCCAAAGCCCCAAAACAGCCCAGCTCTGCTTCACGCCAGGCTTGGAGCCCAAGGTCCACCCTGTGGGCCGGGCCGATCCAAGGTAACTCAGGTTTTCTCATCTGATTCTCGTGGTGACGGGAGGAAAGATGTTAGGATCCCCATTGTACAGCAAAGGCAGAAGCTCAGCCCTAAGTCAAGTGGAAGCGTGGGGCCAGATTTGGTGGGTCCAAAGCTGAGAGCTCCCTGCCCCCAGCTGGGCGCTTTCCAGCCCTTGGGGCACAGGTGCAGCTGTGGGCTCCTGGCTGCTGTGCCCATTCTGCCATTCCATCTTCTACAGCCAGTGCCATGAGCCCGGCTTCCCTGGAAGGGATGGGAACTGAGCCAGGTCCCAGCTTCCCGCCATGACAGGCCCTTGCTTGGTCCTCAGGGAGCTGCAGGAGAGGGAGAAGGCCCTGCGGCTGCAAAAGGAGAGGGAACTGGAGGAGAAGAAAAAGGTACAGGGGAGCCGGGGGTGGATGGTGGGTAGTGGGGCTCGCTCGGGGCCTGTGCTGAGCTTTGGGCTGGGGAGCCCTGATCTGGTGGCTCCTGGGGCGGGAGCTGCCTTGCTTGGCCATGCGGGTTTTGCCCGGGGATTGGGGAGAGCACATTCCCATGGCCCGTAACCCCTGGCTGGCCACTGGTCCCAGGAAAAGCAGCAGCGCCTACAGGAGGAGCAGAAGAAGAAAGCCAAGGAGGCTGCAGCGACCAGCAAAGGCCCGAACACGACCATGGACGTGCAGGTGAGGCCAGGCACCAGAGCAGAGAGGAGCCCCCAGCTCTGATTATTCTCTTCCCGAAGCTGGAGGCCAGTTCACATCTGAGGACCATGAGAAAGAGGAAGGATGCAGGCGGCCCAGGAGTTTCTACTCTTCTGGATACGTGTGTTCTTTCCTATTCTCAAAATAGAATTTGTTTTAAAAACAAACTAAACTTATAAAAGAGTAAACTCTGAGTTCAGTGTACATCTCTCTATATGGTTACATGTGTGAACATTGTACATGTTCTAAGTGGACACAGGCTCTACATACAGGCTATCCAGTCTGCTCAGGCTGCTTTAACAAAGTACCATAGACCAGGTGGCGTAAGCAAACATTTATTTGAGACTGGGATTCAGGGTCTATTAGGGGCCGTCTTGCTGGTTCACAGCCGGCTGTCTTCTCGCTGTGCCCTCGCTTGCACCCAGGAAGGGGAGGCGGAGCTCTCCAGAGCCTCTGTTTGAAGGGCACTGATCGAATTCCTGAGGGCTCCACCCTCGTGACCTAAGCACCTCCCAAGGCCCCACCTCCCAATACCATCATGTGGAGAGAGAGGATTTAACAGGAATTTGGGGGGGACACAAGCATTTACTCTCATACATACCATTTGGCAGCTTGATACTTTTTCCCTCCCCTGTTGCTGCTTTTTATATTGTACACATCTACTTCAGCACTTGTAAATCTCTCATTTTTGACTGTCGTGTACCAGGTAGTTGTATCAGAATTTCTTTAACCAGCGCCTGTTGACAAGCATTTAGGTGACTTCCAGTTTAATGCTTTACAAACAAAACGTATTATGAAGGTTTTCAGTGCAGCATAGGTGAAGGTTGGAAAGTGGGAAGTTAGCCGAACGTTCACCCTAGATCAGTGGTTCTCAACCTGTGGGTCGCGACCCCTTTGGCGGTCAAACGACCCTTTCACAGGGGTCGCCTAAGACCATCCTGCATATCAGATATTTACATTACGATTCATAACAGTAGCAACATTACAGTGATGAAGTAACAACGAAAATAATTTTATGGTTGGGTCACAACATGAGGAACTGTATTTAAAGGGCCAGAAGGTTGAGAACCACTGCCCTAGATGGATGTTTCAAATCGTGAGGTTCCCAATGGAGTCCCGGGAGCTGTTCACGGGAGACATGCTGACGTGGAAGTACAGTTGCAACTTACTTTACATGAAAAAAGGAAGAGTCAAGGCTGTGGGTGTGGTGTGACTTTTAAAGTGACCCTGAGCTTTTTGATTTTTCCTGTGAAAGGAGGGGAGGTGGCCGGGCCCCCTCTCCTCGGGGGTGGGAGTTGCAGGAGCTGGGAAGGGGGAGCTGACGCCCTTGTTTATTTTTCCAGTCTCCAGCCCGTACCTCATGTCCAATGACGCCGCAGGGGCCCAGGGCTCCCCCCAAGACCAACCTGGATAACTACGGGATGGATCTGAACAGCGATGACTCCACTGATGATGAGTCCCATCCCCGGAAGCCCGTCCCCTCCTGGGCCACAGGTGAGCAGGGCCCGGAGCTCTGGGTCCTGGGTCCTCACCTGGGACTTCTGGGGCCCTGGAGGAAGCGGCTTGGCCGATGCGGGTGTTGGGAGGCTGTGGTGCTCAGGGGCTAGAAACCTGACGGGTTGGCCTGGCAAGCCTGCACCCGGCCTTGGGACGCGCTCAGGGAGGAGTGGGACTGTCCAGTGGGCTCACCTTTGGAGCACATGTTGGACGCCTTTGTTCCCAACAGATGCATTAAATAGGGGCTGGCTATGGGCACCTGGTGCTGGGTGTTCCGGCTGGTTCTAGGCCCCTCCTTGCAGTCCTGCCCAGCAGGCCGGATGAGACTTGGGCCTAAATGAGCAGTGTGGGGTGGGAACGGAGCTAAGAGAGGTGATGGGGTTCAGCAGTGCACTGAGCGCGGGCTGGGAGTTCCAGCCGGGGAGGCAGGAAAGCCCCGAGGTGGAGGCGGGCACTTGCGCAGGATTTGAGCCTGCAGTTTAAAGACCCCAGTGTTTAAACAGGAGTGTGGGTGAGCGACTGCGGCCTCAGGCCTGGGTGTGAAGCCTGCGGCAGTGGAGTGGGGGCTGTGCATACGGTGGTGCTCTACAGAGTTTGCAGGCCTGGGGGTCAGGGCGGCTGCAGCCTCCCTCCCCAGGGGTCAGCGCTCTACAGAAGACAGCTTGCTCTTGTGAGCGCCACCTCATTTGAAACACACAGTAACCAGGATCTGACTCAGGTCACTTGGGAGGTGTCCATTAGCAGGGGTCATTGTGGCCAGGAAGCCAGATGATTGGCAAAGCCACCTAATTCTAGTTGGCAGGAGGAACGTGCAGTGAGAGCATGATCGGTGTTTGGAGGAGCGGGGCTCAGAGGAGCTGGCCTGGCAGGAGGGTGGGGCATGCTGGTGTGCAGAGGCTGATCAGGGCTCTGGGTGGGGCAGGGGCATGGGGATCCCCAAGGCACTGACCCGGCCCTGTGTTCCCTGCAGGCACCCAGCTCAGCCAGGCCATCCTCCACCAGTACTGCCACCCCCCGAACCTGCCAGAGCTCTTCGGCACCATTCGCCAGCTTGACCTGGAGGACATCTTCAAGAAGAGCAAGCCTCGCTACCACAAGCGCACCAGCTCCGCCGTCTGGAACTCGCCGCCCCTGCAGGGCAGCAGGGTCCCCAGCAGTCTGACCTGCAGCCTGAAGTACTGAGGCAGGCCCGCCGGCCTTCTCTCCCATCTGTGTCTGGCTGTCCATCCCCCCCTGGGTCTCGTGCCCTCCTCCCTTGCGTTCTGTCCCTGAGGGTTGTTCTGTAAATGCTCTGGTGGCCCCGCCTGTGTGGAGGCTGCGCTCGGTGTGTGTTTGCGGAAGTGCCAGGCGCAGCCATGCTGGGCAGCACTGTGTAAATAGGTTGCTATAATTTTAGCCTGGACTTTGACAGGTATATTAATAAAGTTTATTTTTTTAAGCCTGCCGTGGGTTTTGTGAAGACCAGGGGCCTTGGCAGACCCTGGCCCCTGGCCCTGCAGCCATGTGTCTTGGGCCACCAGATGGGCTGGAGAAGCTGGGCACTGTGCCTTGTCCTTGTGCTTCAAGGTCACCTGGGTCCCACCCCCAGGGATAATGATGCGGTGGGTGATTGTGCTGCCATCCCTGGGCAACCCTGAGACACACTTCTGCCCTCATGATGGTCAGGAGCAGATCCTGGCGGGGGGTGGGGGGGTGGGGGGGGCGCCCTGTTTGTAAGGGCGGTGCTTATTCACTGGGAGAGACCTGGGGTTGAGGTCGGGAGAACTGGCCTCTTGACAGCTCAGCCACTTAAGGCAGTCGTCTCTCAGCCCCTTGCTGCATGGATGGTGCCGGTTGAGCTGCTTAACAGGATCAGAAAGGGATGATTAGAAAGGAGATGTCTCTTGAAACTACCTGGAGGCCAGTGCTTGCCAGCAGTTAAGATGTTTCTCCAATAAAACCAGGAAGCTGCTAATGAAATGCTTAGTGCTAATGGAAGCTGGCTCTGGTCCTGCTGAGAGCTGCCAGCGGAGTTCTAAATGTGTGAGGGCTGGCCCTGACCCTCTGCTGCTTCAGCCCCTGCAGCGGGTCAGTGGGCCAGACCAAGCCACGGCCAGTTCCTGTATAGTCTGCCTGGAACCACGCAATAGAAACGTCTCCACTGCTCTGCTCAGGGCAGAGGGAAGTAGCTGCAACAGGCCTGATGGCCGCAAAGCTGAAAATACCATGACCCTTTACAGAAAACATTTGCTCCTTTAGGACTAAACAAAGGATAAATTCAAGAGTGCTTTTCAAAAGGAGGAAATAGTGGACATACACGGTTGCCTGAAATCTAGAGGATTCCACTCATGCCAACTAAAACATTTTATGCTGCATTTAAATTTGGTGCACAATTCAAATTTGTTCCATATGTTCTCTTACTAGAAACTTGTGTTGAGTCAACTGGAGAGTGTCTTTGCCTAAAGTCACGATGTCAAAATATTACTTTCTGCCCTAGCTGGTTTGGCTCAGTGGATAGAACGTCGGACTGCGGACTAAAAGATCCCAGGTTTGACCTCAATCAAGGGCATATGCCCGAGTTGCAGGATCGATCCCCAGTAGGGGACGTGCAGGAAGCAGCCAATCCATGGTTCTCTCTCATCATTGATGTTTCTATCTCTCCCTCTCCGAAATCAATCAAAATATATTAATACAACAACAAAACCCCAAAATATTACTTCCTGCAAGCATATATATATATATATATATATATATATATATATATATATATATATATATATATATAAAGAGCCAGGGTCTGTAATGTCCAAAACGACCAAACGCCAGGCTGTGCACGCAGCAGGCTCGGCTGGGTGGGGACTGGCGAGCGGGCTGAACTGCTGACCTCTCGGTCCCTCCCCCCCAGCTCCCCTGGTGACGTGGTGACCCAGCACTCACTGCCGAGGGGGCTGTGGGCCCCAGGATGCCTCGGTGCTACAGCGGGAGGGGGCTGTGGGCCCCGGCTGGCCAGGGCACGTTGGAACTCTGGGTCTCCACAATCGGGGGTGTGGCCAGCCTTCAAATCAGACCCTGACAGGAGGGAGGTGGGAGCCCCATTCCTTGCAGAATCGGCCGTTGGATAGCTTGCTGTCAGTGGCCTGCCAGCCAGGAATCCCATTCACCTGCACCCCAGACCCTGGTGATCTGGGCAGAGGCAGTTAGGGGCAATCAGGCCTGCAGGGAAGGGCAGTAAGGGGCGATCAGGCAGGCAGGCAGAGAGGTTAGGGGCAATCAGACAGGCAGGCAGGTGAGCGGTTAGGAGCCAGCGGTCCCAGATTGCGAGAGGGATATCAGACTGCTGGTCGAACATCCCCCAAGGGGTCCCTGATTGGAGAGGGTGCAGGCTGGACTAAGGGACCCCCCCGCCCCCCGCACAAATTTTGTGCACCAGGCCACTAGTATTTATATAATGTTTCAGAAAAAGTTATTACTCAGCAAAAAGGCAGTTCCAGTTCTGCATCTTTACCAGCACTTGATATTGTCAGCATTCCTTATTTTAGCCATTTTAATAGATGTGTAGTGAAATCTCATCATGGTTTTCATTCACGTTTCTCTAATGGAAAGTTGGATTATTTACCATCTGTGTATCTTCTTTGATGAAGTATCCAAATCTTTTGTTCATTTTTAATTTCTTTTGCCTTTTAAATTGTTTTTGTTCTTTTTCTAATATTTTTTGGTTCATGTTTACATTGGGTAGTTTTCTTACTGTTGAGCTTAGAACTTTATGTATTTTGGGTACAAATTGGTTCTCAGTTACATGATTTGCAATATTTTCTCCTAGGTTGCAGCTTGTCTCTCCATTCACTTAACAGTGTTCTTCATAGAGCAACGATTTTTATTTGGGTGAAGTCCAGTTTATTAAATTTTTTTTCTTACATGGATTTTGCTTTTTGGTGGCATGTCTAAGAAACCTTTGTTTAGCCTCAGTTCTTAAAGATTTTCTACTATATTTTCTTCTAAATGTTTTATAGTTTAACATGAAATTTAGATTTATAATCTCTTGAGTTAATTTTTTCAAAATGTGAGGGTTATGGTTTTTGTTTGGGGACACATGGATGGATGTCTGGTTGTTTCAGGACCCTTTCTTGAAAAGACTATTCTTTTACCAATGAATTTCTTTTGTATGTTTGTCAAGAATCAATTAGCCATTTTAATATGGGTTTATTTCTGGACTTTGTATTCTCTTCCATTGGTCTATGCATGTCTCCTTTTGTCAATAGCACATGGTCATGATTACTGTAGCTTTTTGTGTCTTAAAAATCTGGTAGTGTGATTCCTACAACTTTATTCTTGCAAAATTATTTTGGCTTTTCTATCAGTTTTGCCTTCCTATGTAAATTTTAGAATCAGTTTGTCTATACAAAAGCCCTGCTGGGATTTTCACTGGGATTGAATTAAATCTATAGGATAAGTTTGGGGAGAGTTCACATATTTATGATGGGGAATCTTCTAAACCATGAATATGACATGTCTCCATTTATTTCCTTTTTTTGTTGTTGTTTCTTTCACCAGCATTATGTAGTTTCAGCACACAGACTCTGTACAAGTTTTATTGGATTTAGAGCTAAGTAATTATTTTCTTGGAACTATTGTAAATGGTGTTGTTTTCCTAACTTTGGTTTCTACTTGTTCATCGCTGGTATGTGGGCATACAGTTTATTTTTGTGTGTTGACGTTGTATCTTTGATGCAATGAAAGCAGTGCTTAGAGGGAGAGTTATGGCACTAGATGCTCTGTGAAGGGGAAAGTCTCAAATCAGTGACCCCCACTTCCACTTAAGAAAAAGCAGAGCAAATAAAAGTATAAGCAGAAGAGGAGAAATAACAAAGATAGAGCAGAAGCCAATGACATTGGAAAGGAAAAGGTAATAGAAAAAATGTAACCCAGAAGCTGCTCTTTGAGAAGCTCTAGAACAATCCATATACCTGTCCAGACTGAACAGGATTAAAAGAAATGACCAATGCCGAGAATGAGAGGTAAAACCACTAAAGGTTCTCCAAATATTATGAACAACTATGGCAATAATAAGAGAAGAAAATGTACCGTATCAATACATGAGGAAAACCATGTGATTAATAAATGCTGAAGGTGCATTTGACAATTCACTAATTTATGATAAAAGCTCTAAGCAAATCATAATTTAAAGGGAATTTCCTCGGTTTGATAAAGCACATTTAAGGAAAAAAATCTCTACCAAACATGGTGAATGGATGCATTCCTCCCAACAAGTTTAATGCAAGGCTGTCCACTGCATTGCTTCTGAACATTTTATAGGAGGTTCTAGCCAGTGCAGTAGAGCAAAAAGCAAAAGGCACTGTCAGTGAAGAATCGCTTCTCAGCTTTTTGGCTAAGATCAAGTGTAAAACTGTTTTCAGAGATGACTTGTCGAAAATCTGATAGTGTCTACCAAAGGATTAATAAGTGAGTTTAGCATGGTTGCAGGATATAAGATAAATATACAAAAATTAATTGTATTTCTATATACTTACCTTGAACACTCAGAAATTAAGAAACAGTGCAATTTATAATATCCAGAATTATATCTTAGGGATATATTTAATAAAAGGTGTGAAAGATCTGTACAGTAACACCTATAAAATATTGCATCAACAGCAGGTTGAATAAAGTGGTTTATGAATTTTCAGAGAACTTCCTAGAGAAGTCCAAATAACCTGAGGATTAGTGAGATGGGCAAGGAAATTGGTGAGCTAATCCTCACAGCAGGATCCTCTAGACCAGTGGTTCTCAACCTTCTGGCCCTTTAAATACAGTTCCTCATGTTGTGACCCAACCATAAAATTATATTCGTTGCTACTTCATAACTGTAATGATGCTACTGTTATGAATCGTAATGTAAATATCTGATATGCAGGATGGTCTTAGGCGACCCCTGTGAAAGGGTCGTTCGACCGCCAAAGGGGTCGCGACCCACAGGTTGAGAACCGTCGCTCTAGACTATTTATTCAGTTAATTAGGTTGGTTTATCATGTTGTGGGCAGCAAACTACCAGTTAGTAACCCTTGGCCTCCAACTGGCTGGAAATAGGATGAGGCCTGTCGATGACCGTCACTGTGCCAGAGGCCTACATTCTCTTAGTTTCAGAGTTGCTTCATCCTGCTCATCTTTCTGTTACAGCTGAAGGTCTGCGAGTTACACAGCCTGACTCCCTTCCACCTGCCTTCTTGGTGTTGTCGGTCAGTGATCTTTTTTAAAAAAGAAAAGAAGAAAGAATTGAACAGACGAAGGAACTAGGTTGAGCCATCAACTAGAGAACTGGATTGAGTCAGAAACTGAGATGCAAGCAGCTGAGCTAG